TCATTGTTCCTTTGAATAACATCAACAACATCAGCACATATTTCAGGTAGAAGTGAAGTGTTCGAATTTCTCCACATAAGACTCACAGCTTGTTCTGTCGATCTTAATCTAGATTGAATATTATTGACTTTTAACCTTTCATTGTTTACTTAATTATTTTGATTGTATCTCCCATTGATTTAATTATTAATCCTATATTTGTCAATGATTTTTCTGTTAGGTTGATAGATTGGACTGATTTTGATGTTTGTTGATTGCTTCTAAAAATTCCTTAGTGCTTTTATGATTCCCTCTATTTAAAATCTCAATATTTTTCCAGTCGAATGTATGTTCTTAGTTGTCCACATCGATTGATATAAGTGAGGATATGTCAAGGCGTTTGCCCGCTAATTGATGTTCCTGCAATCGAAGACGTCCACCTTGTCTGATGTATTGGTTTTAACAATTGGAACAATTTATTTTGTAGATGATGTTCAATTTTTCTTCTTTTGTCATTTTATCCTTTGATTTGCATTGGATTGATTGAAATGATTTTGTTGGTTTGTGTGCTACATCTATTCCAATTGGTTTCAATAATTCGTTGTAATTTCTGACATGTCCTTTACATATGGTAAGATGATCTGTCTATTGGTTTCCGTGCTTGATTTTGTTTCTGACGATGAGTTGAGTTGATATCTTTTTGATAAATTTGATTAGATAGCCGTTCTTTTGATAGATACTTACTTACTTACGCCTGTTACTCCCAATGGAGTATAGGCCGCCGACCAGCATTCTCAAACCCACTCTGTCCTACTCTGCCTTCTTTTCTAGTTCCATCCAATTCTTGTTCATTTTTCTCATGTCTGTCTACATTTCTCAACGTAATGTGTTCTTTGGTCTTCCTCTTTTCCTTTGACCTTGAGGATTCCATGTGAGGGCTTGCATTGTGACGCAGTTCGGTGATTTCCTCAATGTGTGTCCTATCCACTTCTAGCACTTCCTGATTTCTCCCTTCGCTGGAATCTGATTTGTCCTCTCCAACAGTAGGTTGTCGCTGATAGTGTCTGGTCAACTAATCTGAAGTATATTTTGTAGAAAAAGGTTAATGAACACTTGTATGTTCTGTATGATGACTTTCGTAGTTCTCCAGGTTTCCGCCACATACAGTAGAACTGTCTTCACATTTATATTGAAAATCCTGACCTTGGTGTTGGTTGAGAGTTGTTTTGAGTTCCAGATGATTCTCAGTTGTAAATATACTGCTCTTGCTTTGCCGATCCGCGCCATCACATCTGCATCAGATCCACCATCTTCATCAATGATACAGCTCAAATATGTAACGCTTTTTACATCTTCCAAATCTTCTCCGTCAATTGTGACTGGATTGGCCCATGCTGTGCTGTGTCGGAGAATCTTGCTTTTCCCTTTGTGTATATTGAGACCTACTGCTGCTGAGGCTGCTGCTACACTGATCGTCTTCTCCTGCATTTGTTGCTGCGTTTGGGATAGGATGGCCAGATCACCTGCGAAGTCTAGATCGTCTAGCTGCATCCTAGATGTCCATTGTATCCCGTGCTTCCCTTCATATGTTGACGTCTTCATGATCCAGTCGATCACCAGGAGAAAGAGAAAGGGTGAGAGTAAGCAACCTTGCCTGCCACCGGTCTTTACTTTGAATGAATCTGTCAATTGTCCTCTATGCACGATTTTGCAGTTTAATCCATCATATGAATTCTGTATGATATTGACTATCTTCTGAGTTACGCCGTGGTATCAAAGAACCTTACACAGTGTTGTTCTGTCCACGCTATCAAATGCTTTTTCGTAGTCAATGAGAGAGATAGATACACTTCTTTATTTTTCTACGCTGCAATTTTATTGCAGTCTGGTCATTTTTTTTGTAAAATAAGAGTAAATAGAAAAATCTATTCAAAAATTAACTGAATAAATTTCATGACGACAATCATCTAGTTTCAATAATTAAAAAGCTGATGAAAATGTTATATCCCACCAAGAATTATGAATGAGAACTCTTGAGAAATATTTATGGAGCAATACGATATGCATACGATGCACATTGGTCACTACTCAGTGACTAGTCAATTTTAAACAAATCTCAGACCTACATGTGGTCAGATGTAGACCAAATATGTTTGACTGATATGGAACCGAATTCGCTATGGAGCATTAGTTCGCTCCACATTACAAATACACATTGTCGCCAAATTTTGGACAGCCCAAAATCTTGATCCAGGGTTTCTCGTTTACTATCGCTTAGCACCACCTTACATTAATCTTTTGAATCATTGTACTATTTAACTAAACCCTTTTCAATGGTGATCTAGCTTAGACTGACTCGTGAATTCAACTATTAAAAAAAAACTATCTCCACAAATCCCAATACTGATAATGATCATGTGCTTACTAGTGACTTGCTTCAACATGAAACTCCTGAAATTCTAGCAAGAAGCTTTGGCCAGTAGAGCCCAATCTGTATTAGGTAGAGACAGTTATCCACCTCAGGCAATGGATAAAGAGTTGTGCAAAATCATGGATTGATTAAAATTAGACATTCAAACCATTGGATGCTGACTCAGTGGTCTAGAGAATAAGTGTTTGCATGTAAGTATGAAGGTCTGAGTCTCGTGTGCAAGGTTGTGGGTGCACACTACTGAGGAGTCCTATATAGGGTGAAACGGAAGTCCAGTGCTTCCAGGTTTTTCATTGTGGTCTAGCTTTAACTGACTCATGAATTCAATGATTAAATTACTACAATCTTCACAAAACCCCTCTGTGACCATAAAAATACTTTTCTTATAAACTTTAATTTAATCTTCTGTATATTCTTTGAAATGTATTAGTGAAGGCATAAGTTTTAATGTGCTTCAATGAACTGTTGTTAAATTATGTTCTGATTCATCTAGTTGAGTTTATGAAGGCCTAGAAATTGTTAAATCATATAAACATAAGTTTTCAATACTGAAAGAAAAGGCTGTTATGTAGATCAAATTTATGAAAGATTATTTTAGGTTGACACTATAGCAACTATTCCATTCTATTGCCTACATGATCTAATCAAAAATTTTGAACAAATAAATTATTCAAATCTTTTTAGTTCTTCTAACGTTCATATATATACAGTCAGTCAGCTACAACGTAGGACCAGGCACATATATGCATCGGTCCTAGTTGCCATACCGCATTAACACAACAAGATGAACACCGAATTAATAGTAGTTAATTCAATGGTAGTAATATATAAAAGAAATATTACATATAAGGATATAGTTTTAGATGGTGGTTGGAGGTAGTCAACAGGAAACCTTGGACCCGGGTCTCGTGCTACTTGACATTCGTCAGCAAGGTGTACCTGTAATCTTGAGGGAACTGGTGCTTCCTGGCGGATTCGATCTCGTGTCACCCAGCTTCACAGTCAGAGACGTTACCACATCTCAGTCCTACAGGAGGTTAGTCACGGCTCGGATAGCTCAGTGGTAACGTCTCTGACTGTGAAGCTGGGTGACACGAGATCGAATCCGCCAGGAAGCACCAGTTCCCTCAAGATTACAGGCACACCTTGCTGACGAGTGTCAAGTAGCACGAGACCCGGGTCCAGGGTTTCCTGTTGACTACCTCCAACCACCATCTAAATCTCAATACATAGTGCCCGCAGTGTCGAGTCACCTAGACTGGTGGCCACATTGCAACATGATCGATAGCATTCGATCTGCACTAATAAGGACTAGACACGCATGACATTGATCACCACCCAGTGATCAATCAATTGTGATAAGGATATAGTACCGGAAGAAAGAATTAGAACGTAGAAAGAAAGATATGAAGCAATTTTAATCTCATAGTTTAAAGGAAGACATAAAGTGAATACACCTATGCGATTGCCAATTAATCACTTACAACCTTGAGTATTTTCTATGCATGTGTCTACTTACTCTCTGTATTTGTAATATGATTTGAAAAAATCTAGATTATGTTATAATTCAATAAGTTTTTGTATTACTGAACCCGGTCATACTGAAGCCAGACGAATACTAAAATGCTACTAAATGGTTATATTTTAGTAGCCCTTAATCTGACTCCTAGTTGATTGTGTATATGATTGTTATTGAAATATTCATGTCTGCTATCCTCCTAGATTATTACTGACTTAATTGGCGCTAGTGAATAAAGAAATTAAATGAGTCAAATACGAGAATGAATTTCGAATACTTATATTTTATACAATCGTTGATCCAGACAAATGAGCGTAGAAGAGAGGTGAAATGACACACAGTGGAGAAGGCATGTAAGTCAACTCGACTTGAGCAAGGGTTAATAGATATTAATAGTCGGATAGAAATGAGTTACAGACATGTGATGAATAGGACAAAAAGTGTGCACAAACACGCTCATATAAGAACAGTCAAGGTTAATAAACAAGTAGCTGACAAGGTCAAAATGTGACTCAAGTAGAATGAGTGAATTGCTTTGTCCGAGAGCCAGAGTAACCTATGTGTGCTTAACATAGCAACCGACACTACAATATATATATATCAGTTTTTAAAATTATAAACGTGAATTTTTCTATTTTGCAATGTTGAAATTGTAAGAATCTAACTAATATGTTATACCACTACAGTTAAAGAAATGATTTTAATACACACCAAACTGGACGAATATACCTTTTAAAAACTGACTGTTAGATAACAATCATTATTCCATGTTTTGATAGAGTTTTGTTCTTTGAGCTGGATGGTTTGGTCATGAAAGTTTGTGCTGACGATGTTGTTTAGAAGGACGATGAAAGCTTCACGACAAAATCATCCAGCTCAAAGAATAAAACTCTACCGAAATCATCCACCTGAGCTACAAATCTTCTCTATCATCTCATTATTCCATATTCTTTCTTTGGAAATCCTTTTTAAAACTTCTGTTTTAGTCACTGGTGATTGTATTTGACTTATATTATATAAAAATATATTATTCTATGTTTCTTCTTTTTCCAAAAACAAAAATGTTTTTAGCAACTTATCATTGGTACAATAAACTAATGGATATTGAACTTGATGTAGAATATCTTCGTTCGAATTCGCACTGAAATCGGAAAAAGAAATTATGCAAGAATTAGATAACATCATCATCTATCAATCAATCAATCGAATTGGCTTTGAATAACTTTAATTTAATAGTATCCAGTTACATGTCACATTAATTTACATACCAAAGATAATATGCTTGATTGAATGCCTATATTATTGAAATTGTACAATAAATGGAGGCCATAAATGTGCCTTGAATATATATCCCTCATACTTCTTCATATATATATAAGCCTATACTCATATAATTTCTTTCAGTTTAATAATTTTCATAAATGTAATTTGTAAACTACTAAACAATGATAATTTGTTCACATCTAATAGTAGTATTCATACTTTACATAACAATCAATTCACGTATTCAATATTTAATGTATATGACAATCTAACACGGGTTTTTTTATTTGTAAATATACTGTTTTTTTTTAAGTTGCACTATTTCATATAAATAACTTATATGTTCATGAATATCCCAAATCATGGTTGGACGTTTAGTGATTATTTTTACACTACTAATATGTTGTTCAGTAGATAAAAATGTTAGACAAAATTAAACTTGAAGTCGGATACTAAAGATTATACTAAGATCATAAACCGATTAAGGTTAGACCACCATTGAAAATGTGGAAGCACTTGATGGCCATTTTGTCCTAGTATAGGACTTTTCAGCAGTGCTCGTCTACGATCCCGCACGTGAGGCTCAAACTCAGGACTTTAGTTCTCGCTCGCGAACGCTTAACCTGTAGACCATTGAGATAGCATCCAATGACAAACATCAACCCTACACGTACCCTTTAGATATATCTACATACACAACTACACAAGCTAAGAGTCACGTATTTTATATACATAGAAATACACATTGGGCAGCCCGTCACGATTTCAAAGTCTCAAAGAGTGAACTTTGAGCAATCCATTGACTGTCCAAGTATGCTGGTCAGGTTAAACCCACTACCTAACTGTGCCACTAGGGACATTTGATTCAGATTTCGCTGCCTGAACTGAGCCATCTGTAACTAAATCCTTTGTTAATAGATCCAAATTGCTAGTGTGTCACCATATAGTTACCAGTGCTCTGAATACCATTAATAATCAAGAGATATTACACGCGTAAATTGATTTAAATGAAAAATACTGTGCCTTACATGAGCTAATTATCAAACTGTAACGTAGCCCAGATGAGGAATCATACTTTAAAATTAATCGTGAAACAAGAGACAGAGAATTGAATAAACGGCACATATTTGAGTAGAACTAATTAAAGAATAATCTGGTGTATAATTTATTAACACATCACGCCTACTTTATACAACGAATAACAACAATTACCTAGAATGTGTTCTGGGTGTTACCTTTCAGAAACACCCATGTATCATTTTAAACTGATGAAGTTACCGAAGAGTAGTTCATATGAAGAGAACTAAAAAAGGAACGAATAGAGAAAGGTGAATATAATCGGATACCGAAACACGTAGTGAAATGAGAGAATATAATAAAAGAACCAACGACATGTTTTCATAATGAAACGATTAAATCTACTATAATATTGTCTGTATAAGCAACAGACTACTGATAAATAACAAGTAGTATAATAGTAATAAACTAAATTCGGTAAACAATAAACAACCATGTTAATCTTGAAATACGAAAATAAATGTAAATCTAGCATGAGATGAAATGGCATTCAAATGAAGTAAGGTGTACTATAATATTTACCAAAAATCATTTCTGTAGGTGTAATCCATAAATTTACCACTTATGTGAAATAAAGTTGCAAAAACAAAACAGATCGAATTTGTGTGATCAAACTCATATAATTAGAGGTTATAGTTGAGTCAACAGATAAGATGTATATAAGACTAGTAAAATTTCAGGGAATGTTTCATTATTTTGAATAGGAACAAAGAAAAGACCATTGTGAATACCAAGAAACAAGTGTAAGAGCCGATTTTCGAGATGTTAAACTGCCATACTAAACTATAACTGAGTTAAAGATTTGAGTTGTTAGCAATTTCTCAAACTTACACTCTTAAATAAGTTGGTTTAAGTAAATACAATCCACTACGTTATAACTACGATATTTAGGACATAAATTAAAATCCAATCTTATAATGATCCAAACCGCCAAGTTTTCCCGACTACCCAACATACTTCTAATGATGGAAGCCTGTTAACAGAGGGAAACAAATTTGAGTTAAAAAACATTCACATAATGAATAAATGTAAGTAGTAAGTTATAAAAAACCTATTAGACCGATCCAAAACAACTTTAACAGTTCTACTCAAAGAGCTGAGTTGTGCGTAGGAAATTGTGAAACTAAAAACTAAGATTGGTTTGATAATTCATCACTACAATAGAGAATGAAAGGAATATAAGAAATTTGAAAGTTTTTTTGAATTGCCAGTTCCGCAGTGTGACGTACAATACAAAATGAAAAGATTTAACGTTCTGTACATATTTGATTGTAGATGCTAGTTAACTAGCTAAGTATATTACACAGAGTATTGGAATGATACAAGATCATCACTGCAATTATATTTTTTGAAATTATTCATTTACTTACTTACTTACGACTTTTACCCCATTGGAGCATAGGCCGCTGACCAGCATTCTCCAACCCACTCTGTCCTACTCTGCCTTCTTTTTCTAGTTCTATCTAATTCTTGTTCATTTTTCTCATGTCTATCTCCATTTCTCGGCGTAATGTGTTCTTTGATCTTCCTCTCCTACTCCTCCTTTGGCCTTGAGGATTCCATGTGAGGGCTTGCATTGTGACGCAGTTCACTGCTTTCTTCAATGTTTGTCCTATCCACTTCCAGCGCATCCTCCTGATTTCTTCCTCCTCTGAAAGCTGATCTGTTCTCTCCCACAGTAGGTTGTTGTAGATAGTGCCTGGCCAACAGATCCGAAGTATTTTGTGTAGACAACTGTTAATAAACACCTGTATCTTCTGGATGATGGCTTTCGTAGTTCTCCAGGTTTCCGCCACATACAGTAGAACTGTCTTCACATTTGTATTGAAAATCC